GTTGCCGCCATCATAATCATCCTTCATCCATGATTGCAAAATAGCTGCTGCATGCATCGAATCGAGCACTCCAACGCTATCCATGGCTGTAAAACACCTTCCGCCAAAGATACAAGCCCTCTTAATCCATCATCATCCTCAGCGATATCCACGCGCCACGTGCATCATTCCTGCTGACGACGCACCAAGTAACCAAAGAAACAATCCATCTTTCCCAATCACTGCACTTGGTTGCATCCATCCATCCATATCCATTGCAAGTCCAATAATGCTGCTGATACGCTTCCTTTTCCATCAGGGTGTTGGTCCATCTCTTGCTTGATCATCTCCTATCGCAGCTCAACTAAGGTGATGATGGCTTTGCATTGTGGCGTACTTGATAGCTGATATGGCATCATCCATAGGAATTCGTATGTATTGAAAGCAAGTTGATGACACGTAAACAAAGCTGCATCTATACAATAGCTATCTGCTGTCCAGATATCAAAGGATGCAAGGCAGGATGCTGCAAGTGAATAGCACTGCTTGAGACAATAGAGTAAGCTGTTACGTTTGGTAGTGGCAGAGGAGCGTGCAAGAGCGTGTGTTGTAGTAGAGTGACAAGGTTGTGAACGCTGTATGAGACAATGGAGTAAAGACATCGCCAATAGCAACTGCTGGAATGAATGCTGTTACGTTTGATTGTCGTCGACGATTGTACAAGAGAAGGGGAAGTGTCAAGAAACGCGGGTGTTGTAGTGGGCTGCACACGCCATGGACTTGCCATTCAGTCAAAGGCGATGGGATCAAGAGAGTTGTAGGCTTGACATGATGGGTTGAAGCAGGACAATCGTTCGTAGGTGGTAGTTGTATGCTTGAATGGGGCAATAGTTGAGAATGGGAGGAAGAGGGAAGAGCTGAGAGTGGAAGAAGTGGAAAGTAAATCGATCGGACACCTCTTGTAAAAATGCATGAACACTGTACATCAATCCTTGTTGGTATTGAGATTGCCCCTCTCGAACCTGAAACTTTCACACAAGGTGCTCTTGAACATGCTGATCAATATTGTTTTAAAAAAGACCTCATGTTCATTTAAAAATATTGAATAGGAGGGTCCAATATGGGATTTACTATGGAGATCGGAAAGCATGGCAGCGCCCGGTTCATGATCTATGGAAATAGAATGAATCACCTTGGGATTCGCCATCTCGAACATGAAACTTTGTCAGAAGATTCGTTGGGTCATGCTGATCAACTTCATTCATTTAAAAGTCGCAGACTTCATTGTGAAGATTTAAAATGCGGGGGTGTCCAAATGGTGGATGACGGGCAATAAAGAGTGAACGGCCCACCGCCCCGAAGTTGTCCACCTTCAACTTGAAAATTGGTCAGAATGGTGCTCTCGAGCATGCTGATCAACTTTTTCTAATAAAAACTTCACCCTTCATTTGAAAATTTTGGGATGAGAGCGTCCAAAAGTTTGAAAGACGGAGACATTCGCAGGGTCTGCGATTCATTTATTTTCATGTTTGCTGTTCCAGCGTAGCTCAGTCAAATCAGCTCGGATCAAGAAACTTGAATGATGGAAATGCTCGGCTGGAGTAGGAGAATCGTTCCCATGCAGTGGATTTTGCAACAATGTTGATTGTGAGGAATTGGCTGATAGCGTGCACCATATGGACTATTATGGATAGACCATAAAGTAAAATCCATCAATCCTTCCAGTCATGCAAAGTAGCTGTGTTACACAAAGAAGTCCTTCTGCATCTCCGGCTGTATCAGGGTCAAGCTACTTCACAATGAACAACGACCACTTTTCATATAGCATCACGCTTACAGCATATGTAAAACATAAAGACAGCCATATCTCAAAACTTTACAATGAATTGTGGGGTCTTTAAGAGAACAAGCTGCTCGGCTGAGTCAAAGCGATCTTGTGTCAAAGTATGAAGTTCATCGTGGCCAATCCCAGATTTCGCAATGTCGCCACCAGCCAAACTGGATCTGGGGGTCGACCTCTTCGACGACGACGACCAAAAAAATATTTTTTGGGCTAGTTGCGACATTGAACGTGAAACTTTCACACAAGGTGCTGTTGGCCAAGCCGAGCCCATTGCTCTATTCAAAACCCCACGTTTCATTGTAAACTTCGGAGATACAGGCACCTTTATGTTTGTAAGCGTGATGCTATATGAGAAGTGGTCTTTGTTTAATGTAAAGTAGCTAGACCCTGGCAGAGCAGAAGATGCAGAGGGTCGTGTTGTGTAACACAGCTACGTTTGCATGAATGAAAGGGTCAATGTATAATTACTTTATGGATCATCTAGGAACAGGCATGTATTGCTAGCTAACGGCCACTTTTATCCAATCATCATTGTTGCGAGATCCACTGCATGGGAACGATGCCCCTGCTCTAGACATTCATTTCCATGATTAAAGTAGGTTGATCCGAGCTGATTTGACTGAGCTGCGGTCAACGAGAGATTACATCACTCTGGACATAAAGCACGCTCAATGTAGCTCAACCGATGTAATCTTGTGCGAGCGTAACTCAACCAAATCAGCTCGGATCAACCTACTTTAATCATGGAAATGAATGTCTAGAGCAGGAGCATCGTCCACCTACAGTAGAATGCACAAAGGTTGGGAATGCACAAAAGTGGCTATTAGCGGCCAATGTACGACATAAAAGTGAGGTATGCGTACATGTCATGCATTGTCCCTGAAGTCCTGACTTTTTAGCTGAGTTACCCAAAGAGGTCCTTCTGCATCTTTGGCTCTCCAGAGTCTAGCTACTTGGCAATGAACAAAGACCACTTCTCATATAGCATCACGCTTACAAACATAAAGGTGCCTGTATCTCTAAACTTTACAATCAAACGTGGAGTTTTAATTAGAGCAATGTGCTCGGCTTGGCCAACAGCACCTTGGGTGAAAGTTTCACGATCAAGCTTGCCAATCCCAGATTTCGCAATGTCGCTACCAGCCAAACTGGATCTGGGGGTCGAACTCTTCGACGACGACGACCAAAAAAAATATTTTTTGGGCTGTTTGCGACATTGAACGCGAAACTTTCACACAAGGTGCTGTTGGCCAAGCCGAGCCCATTGCTCTATTCAAAACCCCACGTTTCATTGTAAAGTTTGGAGATACAGGCACCTTTATGTTTTACCTATGCTGTAAGCGTGATGGAGTTGCTTTTTCCTAGTGGATGGTGTCGGCTGCATTAACGGAAAGATGAAGAGCTGAATGAAATGGTGAAATAAAGGAAACGGAACGTGCCCAGCAGCAAGGCCTGAATGTGTATACCCTGCCATATGAGTCGAGGTGTCCATGTACAAAGTCATCTATCTACTATCAAGCACCCTTTGGTGCACAACTGCTATTAGGGATGACTCGAAAGGTCTCAACAAATACACACGTAAAGAGATACAATGACGGGAAAGATATGATATGGAACAGGGGAGGAAACAGAGATGATGTATGATAGGATTGCACAATGATGGGAAATAGAATGGGAATATGGGTATATACTCCTTCGAATAGAAACACACACACTAGCCGGCAAGGCACACACAAAGGCACACACAAAACTTGGGAAGATCACTCTTGGTTCTTTATTTGATGTGGGGTTATTTATATACTTTGGATAAAATTGCACTACATGGAAAGATTGTTTTACTGATATTATGCATGGTTTGTGGGATGTTGGGGTGAGGTCTCGGATGCCGGTCTTTTCATTTTGGGCTGCTTCATCACATGCTGGCTGTCATCCTTCACTACAATGGCACGCGGTGGTTACACAGACACGTCCTTGACAGGTGTTGCTACACAAATGGATGATGATGATTGCCTTTTGTCAAGGTACGTAAGTAAACAGCATCCAATAATGAAGGTGTGTCAAGGTATGCACCGCATTTGCATGTAGAAGAAAGTCGAGCTGCATAAACCAATTTGTATATGTAAAAGGATACGTATACATATTGATGGTCATTCATCCTGAAACTCAATGGAGGGATCTCTTCACCTTTTCTCTTCTCAAGCTCAACCCACTTCCCACTCCTCCTTATTGTATCACAAAAGCCATGTACTTCTTGCATGACCGATAACCGAACCGCCTTTATTATTGCATTTTCGAAGCAATATTATGTAATCCACAAACTAGCAAAGCCTAAGTGCGTAATAAACATGAATGCTGGCATTTGGTTACCAGGGCCAACTTAAGCTTGTCTTTCTTGCTCTCAATTGTGGTGCGCTCACTTGCGAATTCGCACGTGCTGAACTCCGTTCCACCACGCATGTTCGTATGTCACCTACAAAGAAGTCCTAAGTTTCCCATCAAAATAGACATCCTTTATGACGTACTTGGCTGCGTCCGCTTCGCTATCCTCGTAAAAGATTCTTTGCGATTTTGTGTTGTCGCCACATGGCTAGCACGCTAATGCTTGTTGCGCAAAAGATACTTGTGATAAATTTTGATGCTACATGGCTAGTCAATGTATAAGCGAAGAGAAATACATAAATGATAGTTATACCTACCGCAAAAAGATCCATGAACAACAAGGAACAGAGGCAAATGTCATAATGCAGCAATGAGCACATCAAGCGTGGTAAAGCAATAATGTGAGCTGCATAGGTGGACACATGAGTACTGTCATTTGGGAATCACATAAAGACTTACCAAAAATGCCACCCAAGGCCATTGATGATGATATGAATACAAGTAGAAAGAAAGGGCGTATGATGGTTTTGGTGACAACAGCCTTGTTTATATGTGGATGGGCGTGGAAATTGTTGTCATGATTGATTGATCTGATAAAGTGGTCAAGCATCTTGGAGTACTGAGACGAGGTGATAAATCCACCTGCCACCTGAAAGGTAGGTGACATGAGTATATCCGGAAGCTGCCGAGGGCTTTATGTGCATGCGTGAGCTGAGTTTGGAACAAAACATGGTGCACGAAGCCTGGTGGAAAGAGCCAAACCCCTTTCTTTAACTCGTCAAGACAACAGCCACAGAGTATGGACGACACCGATACCAAAGCCATTGTTTCAGAATTGCAGCGAGCACAACGATCCAGCAGTGCGAGTCGACAACCCCAGAGGAGGAATGACCGGCTACTCGATGGCATGCTTTCTTCTCCAGCACGTAAACTCGCCGCCATGTCTCGATCAGAATTGCTGGAACAGCGTGAACGCAACGAGAGAATGTTGCAGAATACGTACGTGTGTATGATATGGCTACTATTACTGCATTAGACTTATGCGTTATTGTAGGAGCATTGTCAACACATTACCGGATAAGGGTGCCAAACTAAAGAACAGCATTGCACAAATTGATGCATTATTACAGCAACAAGAGAACAATACAGCAGCAGCAGCAGCAGCTTCTTCAGCATCCAATACGACTCAACCCAATATACGTCAAATGTCATTAGAAGAGAATGGATCCAACAGTCGATCGTTGTTGGCTGAAAAGGATGCAGATGGGATGGTAAGTAATGAAGATGGGATTTCATGCTGATAAGAGCGTATCGCATAACCGGACTTGATATGGTAGGCGCATTCCAAAACACGTATGATGCCCATGGATGAATCAATGCAATTACAAAATGAGCAACTACAAGCTATCAAGGTAAGGTAGATAGGAAAGAGCATGAGCACTCGATATTCATGATTCCCTTGTTTATGTAGGATGAAAAACTAAGACGACAAATGGCTTCCTTACGACCTCCACAACCCAAGTTTACAGAATCATTGGCAGATGACTTGAGGCAAGTAGATTTCTGTCACCTGGCATTGTGTATACTCACTCATCTCTATATTAGTCTTTCGATGGAGCGCATGAAATTGAATCCTGAAACAGGGTCTCATCGACCACCGGATGATGATCGTGACGAATACGAGTCGGATAGCGAGGATGAAGATTCTATAGACCAAGCCATCTATGACAGCTTATACGAGGATGATGAAGGCTTTGACGAGGAATACGATGATCGTCGTTAAGATGACTACATACTAGCGATGTTGGATTTCTTTTGTACCTTTATTGTGTAAATATATAATGATCCTTTACCAACTTCATGTGCATGTACATGTTGTCATTGTCTCTCTCGATTGGATATTGGGTTCCAAGATAAAGCGGCATTGTTGGCAATAATAATAATAGTGATTAAAACGATATAGATAAGGATGATAGGTATGGATCGATTGGATTATCAGAATGGATGTGGCGGGCTGGTGGTAGTGGTGATGGTATGGGTGATCGGGAGGGTAAATTCAAGATTGCGGGTTGGATGGGGTCGTTGCAGCTGCAATGCTGACAGGTGAAACGGGTTGGTAACGTCGGGACTTGTCAAAATCATCATGATTGTCCTAATCATACAGCTCTTAGCGTCATCTATTTTTCATCTAGAATGATCCACATCTCTCTTTTACATACCACAGGGCTTGTACTGCGAACAGGGCTAGGTGGCAATCCCATCGCTTGTGATTTGATACTATGACTTGAAGATGTTGGTGTTGTAGGTACGCTACTAAAACGATGCTGATGATGATAATTGCTGTAATCAAGAAGCTCGGCTTGTGACAGTCGTATCGATAACCTGCGGCTTCCAGCTACAGCAGCAGCAGCAGTCAATGAAGATGGCGAACCTGGTGGTTTAGGCGTATTGGAACGACTTGATCTGAATGAGCGTATTGAACCAGAGCGCGAAGAAGGAATACGTGGATAAGTTGAAAGGTGATGTTCTGCCAAGAATTGTTCCAAAAAGTCGACAATTAAGGGTTCTTTCATAGCCGACAGCTTGTACTCCTCAAATGACTATATCCAAAGTAAGTATACATGGCAACGTGACACATATACACAGCATTTGAGCCACCCATCTCTTACATATACATCACGTTTACTCATATACACAAACAAACCCTCTCTCTCACTCACAACATCCTTCCTTTTGCATGATTCTTCTTACCAATTTGCCATCATTGTCCACATCCAGGTCATCAAACATCCGTGCAATCATATCCTTAATCTCACTTGTTTGATCTTCATCATCAGAGAATGTGCGTGACTAGATGAATGAATGAAAAAAGCATATAGCAGAATTAGGCAATTGATAATATGACCTACTACAGACGTGTTTACCAATTGCAGCATCACTCGCTCCAGCTCCGGTTTAGTAAGATAGCCATCATGATCCACATCGTACAACTTGAACGATACTATGCACAGGATGTCAGTCCTTTTTACAATCATGGCTCTCTCTCTCCCTCTCTCTCTCCCTCATATCTTTATCTATGCATAAAAAGTTTATACTCACATACAAGCTTTTCATCTGGTGTCCCTTTCATGAATACGCTAAGCCCATTGACAAATTCACTAAATGATCATCATCTTCATTAGCCCATGCGTTCCTATAAAGCACCACCATCCTCCTCCCCTTCCTTACCGGAAATCAATCATTTTGTCGTTATCTTTATCAAAGGCAGCATAGAGACGATTCAAAAACATGTCATCATTGGGTGATACGGATGGGACGCATTTTCTGACAGTCTATTTCATTGTCCCAAGGATGCATTTAGAACCGCTGTTGCGTCGACTCGAATAGAATAGCTCACCTCTCGAAAGACATCTTCAGTAATGCTGCTGTGGTCCGATCGTCGTGATGTCGAGGTTTCCAAATTATGCCGGAGATGCCGAATCTCTTTCGGGGAGACTTTGTTGGTGGGGTTGAGAATAAAGCGTCAGCGTATTGAAGGAGGTGGGGTGTGAAGAAAGGACGGTTGCTTACAATGCGTTTTACGTGATAAGACTCGGTTCTCTTTGCTTTTAGCTTGACCCATTATGGAAGAAGTATGTTCTTGCCAAAAGTACCTTGAGAATATAAGAAGGAAAAAGAGAGAGAGAGAAAAAGAAAGGGCAAATGCGGAGATTCTGGACCTACACACACACACACGCATATGCCATCATCATCATCATCAGCATCACGGCAGATCAACGGGGCTTCTCTTTCAATGGTCCCGTGTGCTGTTGCTGATGCATGTGTGTGCAGCATGATTTAGCTCTCCTACACTTTTTATGTACTGTCAGCTCAGCCTCGATTACATCATAGGCTAAACACCTATCAAACTATTCATTTTTTGTCCCACACTTGCCTATTACCCTCCCTTGTTGTTGTTCTTCTTGCGCACAATTTCCAAGAAGGTAATCGAATATCCTTCTTATGGTGCAGCTGTTCCACAAGTACAATAGAATAAAAGACAACGCTCATCGTTAGTGGTGATGGTAGCTACCAATAACATCAACAGCCCCTTTTGTTTTTTCATCCTAGAACGATAGTTGATATCAACACGCATGAAGAAACCTTGACATGTTGTATAATGTCACAATAGGGAAGCAGCAACAACACATTCTCACGGGCTTCGAGAGCGCGCCAATGCATTAGCGATATGCTAATCTCAAATAAGAGAGTCCGACCCATGTGCCGACGACGCGTTGATCCGACTACTGGGAAAGGCCCCGATCCACCTTATCCATTTCATTAAACCCATGGTTGAGTTAACTAAGTACGGCATTCAAGTCATAAAGACGATGGTCGAAAATGTGAAACGCGTTGTTGTGTTGATTCTTCATGTCCATGCTGCATGATCATCATCTGAGTCCTTGCGGCACCTGTGGCACCATAGGAGCCTTTCTCCACATTATTCATATGCCCTGCCGATCATTCGTTCAGCTAATCAGGTACGAGGATGTTTCGCCGCCCAACCCACATCCAAAAGCAAGATGGTGCTCAACAACACGATGCTTGTACAGGTTGTTAATATAGTAAGATGGGGTTATGAAGATCCTCCTGTCGATGTAGTAGTATGTATTGTTATAACACAACACGAGTGTGCTATGAGCTCATTCCATTCATTTAAACGATACAATCACATTTTTAATAATGTCATTGGATATGGTCAATTGGCATAGACTGTAGTAGCAAGCGCTGGTATAATGATATGATTGTATCACATGAGACCCAACAAGAAGATGTCAGCCATGTGGCACACATCTTGCTGTATGTGTGTGTGTGGGGGGGGGGGGGAGGGAACGTAAATGAATCTCTCCCCTCCGCTTCCTTCTTTCTCTTTATTTCATGCCATTTTCCTCTCTCTTCTCACAGCCTTCTTCTTATACCCCCGTTGCTGCACGCGATACCAATGACACCACCCATGAAGACGCATTGAACGACGAGACCAGCAATCTAATTGTCCCAGAGGATCAGCTGCAGTTGAACGACATTGCAACGACAAAGTTTGTCTATATCCTTGTGTTCAGCACTTGTATAGGAGGCTTTCTCTTTGGTTATGATACTGGCAGTAAGCAAATGTCTTCCCTTCTTCATTCAACGTGAACATTGGCATGGGGCTGAATTGAACGTATGGCTATAGTCATATCAGGTGCTTTACAACCACTTCAAGAAGAGTATGGACTCGTCACCATGCAAAAGGAATTTATTGTTGGAGGCACTACATTTGCAGCTATCTTTGGTGGCCTTGGTGCTGGCATGGTAAGATTGTTGTCAATGATGATCTCCTCCGCTGCGGCTACTGACAATCGAAGCTATTTGCAAGGGGGTTGATCGCATAGGACGAAAGGTAAGGAAGAACTATGATGGGGATCAATAAAGGGGACATGTTTTTATGTTGTCATATATAGGCACTTGTTCTATTTGCATCCGTGGTGTTCATTGTGGGTGCCGTCATACTGGGTCTTGCCACTGGCTATTCAACTTTGCTGATAGGGCGTCTCGTTGTCGGGTTTGGTGTGGGAATAGCGTCCATGATCGTCCCAATGTATATAAGTAAGTACCCACATATTCCCTAGGCAAGGTCACATTACTAAACAACAAAAACAACAACGCACCATGGAATGATAGGTGAAGTTGCACCCAGGACGCTTCGAGGTCAATTATCCACAATCAATACACTCATGGTCACGTTTGGTCAAGTGGTTGCCTATCTCATCAATATCGCCTTTGCAAAAGTGGATGGTGGATGGCGGTACATGTTTGGACTGGCTGCATTGCCTGCTATCTTTCAATGCTTTGGTATGTTCATACGACTACAGCTGGGATGGATGAGGAAAAGTCATACTAAGTTCATGCATGTAGCTCTTGCATTCGTACCCGAGTCACCACGTTATTTGATTGCCAATGGGGAAACGTTACGAGCACAAGCCATTTTACGCAAAGTATATGGGGAAGCAGTATCGGAGGGATTCATCGATCAAGAAGTGTCCAGTATACAAGAAAGTATCAAGCAAGAAAGTGAAGGCGTATCATTCAGTGAGCTTTTCAATCAGGTGAATCGACGACCTTTATTTATCGGTAAGGATCCTCTCATGCATAGCCAATCTTTTTGGTTCACTCATTGTATCTTTTTTCTTGCTTTGTCGTGTACGTAGCATGTATTTTACAAGCAGCTCAGCAACTCTCGGGGTTCAATACGGCAATGTACTATGCAGCAACAATTATGCAAATGGCTGGTTTCCGTGACCACGGCGACTCCACCACAGTTGCTCTCATTGTGGCTTCCACCAACATGATCTTTACTGCTATAGCCATCAAGACCATTGATCGAGTTGGACGTCGACGTTTACTGGTTTCCACCATGTTTGTGATGATCCTGGGGTTGCTCGCTTTGGGATCATCGTTTGCTTCTCTTCAAGGGTTGGTGCCCAAGCAAGATACATGCGACTTTTATGGTTCCAATTGTGCACGATGTGTGCTGGATGAACGTTGTGGATGGCTTACTATGGGAGATACATGCAGTGTTGTTGAAGGTCACGAGCAAGATTTGTATCAGAGTCCAACGGGATGTCCACCTGAATTCCATGGACCAGTTATATCAGCGAGTCTATTGGTGTCGCTCTTTGTCTACGTAGCAAGCTATGCTCTTGGTCTTGGATATGCTCCATGGGTAAGAGGTCACCATGCAACAACAAATGGATTACCAACAGCATCTAATGAATCATGCTGTCTTTTCTTGTTAGCTTATCCAAAGCGAATTGTTCAGCATGCAAGTCCGAGGAAAAGCAAATGGCCTAGCTACTGCAGTCAATTGGACCTGCAACTTGATCATTGCCACAACCTTTTTGTCGCTAGCCGATGCCTTATCCACTGCTGTCACGTTTTGGTTATACGCAGTCATCTCGTTTGCATTTTGGGTTCTCGTTGTACGCATGGTACCAGAGGTAAGGGATCTAATTCATAGGCTCATGTTTTATTCAAGGTATTGATCTTTTCGCTTTTATAGACCAAAGGGAAATCCTTAGAAGACATTCAATCGCTTTTTCATTGAACAATGAATATACCAATTAATTGACATTATAAAAGTGTGTTCACAAGACGATCCATGGAGCATTTTATAGGATGGGAGTGCATGGGATTTGTTGCCATGGATACCATGATACTTTAAATCACAAACAGCTTGGACATGACGCGATTATGAATGAAAGAAAAAGCAAATTGTATTTATGGAGCTATCTACAAACTATATAAGGGGAGGGGGAAAGGGAAGGTGGATATATGTACAAGAGTTAAAGAGTGGAGAGCATCATACGGAAAACCGCAATGAGCTGTTGATGTTGGTGGTGGTGGTGGGTTCGGGGACCTCAGGCATGCTTACTGCACGCAAGTTGTCCTCGCCCCGGACAAGCATCGCAGCAAGCAAAGCGTGCTCGTCATCCAATTCCTCAACCTTGATAGCAGGGAGGAAAGTGGGAGGTGATGGTGGCTCGAGCTTGACAGCGGCCAATGGCGTTACGCCAGGTTCGGTTTTAATGGGGACGAGTGGTGGTGACAAGGGCGAAAGTGAGGAAGAAGAGGAAGGACCAGACATGGGTCGAGGTGTGAGAGGAGGAAGAGGAGCAGCAAACAAAGAGGCCAAACCAGAGGCAAACGCATTGTACTCGCTTTCCGAGACAAAGAACTGGAAGTTCATTGCCTCAGCGGCAATCCACTCAAATTCGTCAATTGCTCGAAGCGGAATGCCAGACACCGGTCCCCACTAAAAATGAGCAAGACAATAAGCAAAAGTGTTAGATTTATCAATTTACAGTAAAAGAAAACCATATACATACCTCAACTAGTCTCCACCACATGTGATCGTCATCGTGCCATTTGCAGGCCAAACGAGTGGCAACCGTGATCAGCAAGCAGTCTCCACCGTACCCAATGTTACAGACAAGCTCGGTAAGGCGAGCAGCACCAACAGCAGCAACAAGGCGTTGGGCATAAATCATCCTATAATAATAGGCTATCAGTCATTGAAGGCGTCAATAGCTCGAATGAGAAATACTTACGAGAGGATAACAACTTCAGTGGAGGCGCCAGCTTGCGCAAAGAGATGATTACAGTAATGGGCCATACCCCACAAATCGTTGTTGTTGTTCAAAGGGGCGTTACCAAGGAGGAGCGAGAGGAAGAACGCGTAAAGATTGCCGGAATCAATGGAGATATTGCCAACGGTAATGAGAAAAGGTGACATGTTGGAAAAGAGCAGTGGTTGCCTGGAAACGGGGAAAGAGTGCAATTAAACTTGACAGCATCACTGTACGTAACACAGGACACGGACTTTGACCCCCCAACGTGTCACCCCCCAACGTCAATGGGACACAAAACACTTTTTTGCCATAACTTTGGAAGTTTATTACTTTTTGCAAAAATACTATCTCAAGTAATAGGAAACCACCATACAATTAATATGGCGACAAAAAAACCCGGTCTTCAATTGATGGAATACAGCTAAAACCCCTTAAAACCCGATTTTCATCTACGAACATAGGACATGGTCATACCCTTTTGCCCATAACATTGGAAGATTCATTCCTTTTTGGACTTACAGTACCTCAAATGATAGAGCACCGGCATACGATCATGATGCTATCAAAAAAGCACGGTCTTCTATGGTGGGAATGCACTTAAAAACCTTTGAAAAGGATAATGATTATACCTTTTTCCTATAACACTTGAAGATTCATCGCTTTGTGGATGGATGATACTTCAAATGATAGAGAACCATCATACAATCATGATGATGTAAAAAATTTTCGATCGTCTATTCATGGAATGCCCTTAAAAACGTGATTTTCGTATTTGAACGGGCTTCGTGCACATGTTTCTCCTTTGCAACTTTAATAGCACATGATCTTTTATGAGAGGTATTTAAAAGGATAAAGCAACGTTGCGTGGCAACTAAGGGGGTATCATGGTCAAAAGGGAAGCGTGCCTGCGTGTGGCAATGGATGGCTGTAGTCAGTTCAAATGGCGCCTGCCAAATCACTGGCACTTTAATGCAGCCGCTTCCTTTTCTCAGCCGCTTCCTTGCAATTTCTTTTTTCACTTGGCCGGTCAAGGTGGCGATCCCGATTCCAATTGCAACATTGGACCATAAAGACTGATGCAAACAAACGCTATTGTATTGGACACAAGCTCTTGACTGCAGGCATCACGATTGGAGCACTCATGCCAAACGCCAATGAGTATTCCCTCGTTCTGGTGAGAACGTGTAAGAGTATCAATTGAAATGCCCCTGCTAACATCATGTCATTGATAGAATCCATTCATCGCCTACATACTCGATCTTCGTGCTCGACCTTGTCATCAAGATCAACATCATCTTCAGAAGCATTATCATCATCGTTCACGTGAAATCTCTCAACGCCGTTTGTTGTTGACCCGTCAATTTGAATCCTCAAGAATAATTGCTATGACTACATGTGCACGTAATGGGACACTACCTTTCGCAATCTTTCTTTCACTGATCAACTCGATCCTGAGACTTTTATACGTACAAGGTTCCTTCATACATGCTGAGTAAGTGGCCTTTTTCTTCTTTGTCAAAGCTCTAATTTTTTTATTCATAGCAGCTTCGTGAAGCAGCAATGTGGCTATCAAGATCCATGTTACCTTGGCGACTATCAAAAAAAGATCAGGCAACACATACAACGAAGCACCTCCCCCTTCTCTACATCAGTACCCTACATCCTCGTTTACCTCGTTATAGTTTCCTCATCCCCGAATACTCCCAATTGGTCTTTGTGTTTTGTACGTTGGTTATGTATAATACATTGATGGAGGCGCATTATAATGGGAAAAGCTGCTATATCATGTAATCCCCATGTTGGAGCTGTGATTTCTGGGAACATTCAAGCTCGTGTGCTATGCTTATTGACTTTGAAAATGCTAACGACTTTTCTTTTGAAACGAACGCTTATGTACACAGCCATCCTCGAACCACGTCTTATTTTGTGGAACTTGAGCACAGCAAGTAATTGAGTGATACCAACATTGTTTGATGACCTTGTCTGATTTATGCATGCACAATCAACCACACCAAAGCTCTCCCATCAATCTATCAGCTCATCACTCTTTGTGGTAACAGGAATACCCACGCCCACCGTGCCGATATAAACAAGATGAATGTTGTCGACCATCCCTTTTCTCCCATACATCTCTTTCTTCCCATCATATCACCTTTGATCGCTGACAACTTCAAAAGCCCTTGGTACGTGCCATGTTGGATAGTCCTCTTTGTGTACGATCCATGTACTCATACGTATTTGTAATGGTCGTTAGTCTTTCATTGTTATCCTACTTTCGTTGTCATGGTTGTCATTGTTGAGATACTTGGCTTCTTTATGAGGTACACAATGACCACTTCGCTTAATGAAACATGTATTCATATAGATACCATGTCCCTTTTGACGTAGCTACCTCACTAGATGCACCTAAAAAGTTGGATTTGGGCCATATGTACAACAACCCGCATGGCGATGATATAGCGGTGTCCTTACAATGGTTATTGGAGGCCACGTCGGGGTGGATGTGGACACTGCCAAAAACAAAGTTGACCAAGAAGGCACAAAAAAGAAGACCTCAAACTCGACGTGAGGTGCTCTCGACAGCTTGACCCATCAAGAACCAAAAAGAAACTGATCAAGAAAACAAAAAGAGAAGATATCAAAGCTTGACACGAGGAGATTACAGAAGACCTATTCAATAATGGTCTTCAGCTTGATACAGATAACAATACAACAAGCATGTTAGCTTTGTTTGTCATGACTATATACCAAGAATCCATATACATAGCAAGACCAGTATGGCATTATCAGCACAATATTCGCCATCGATATGTATACACAATTTGCTACTAGTTGATTATCCTTAGAATGAAACGAGGGTTGAAATAAAGGATATGGATTAGATAGTAAAGCTAAAATGAACAACCACGATGTTGTTGCTATCATCTCAGGCTAGGTTTATCAGAGCCGATTTTGGTATACACATGATCCCTTGTCAATAAATGCATGGTGTGTAGGATTTACATCTCAGCTTTGTCATCAAGATCAATGCGTAGGATAGGATCTCAGCATGCATGTCTTTGTAAGAAAAGAACATTGATTCCCCGCATGAGAATAGTACAAAGTTGATCAAGGTACCGTTTTCTCGGAATGGCTCATCAGCCGACTGTGCGTGACACCCTGTGCCTTGTCGGGGAGAGAAAAGGAACAAGGGAACACCACCATCTCATCAGCAAGTTAAGGTCCATCTCATGGAGATCGTGTTATATAAAATAATTTATACATGACATTTGTGTGTGTGGATGTATCGCTTAATGATGGATCATACGATTGTTTATTTAAAAGATCATGCATTTGGATGTGCGCGGTACAATGAACAAGAAGGGTGCTCTTACCGCGCCAGGAACACAGCACAGCAGCACAATACCCGATTAATGCCCGCTACCCCAAATGCCAGGTTTGGGGCCAAAGCTGCTTATCATGTGAAGATCTAAGCTTTATAAGGTTACACGTCTATTCTGCTTTCGAGTTTCTTTCTCTTGCTTTAACTCTGTTGTATACACGCAATGAACACTCATCAAACTGAATCTCGTAAGCCTGTCAGGTAGGTTGCTTTATTGCAAATGGGCGAAGAGGTACACACAGCGTGGCATGGGGCGTCATGTTCCTGAACTTTTAGATAACCTTCTTGCTCTTTTACAGAATCTGGGTCGATGGCTGCTTTGACATGATGCACTATGGCCATGCCAACGCTCTCCGTCAGGTATGTTTTTACCAAGCCAACCTCGTATAGCATGTTTGTATTGACATGGTGTGTTTGATAAAAAGGCCAAGGCTATGGGTGATTATCTTGTTGTTGGTGTTCATTCTGATGCCGAGATTACCAAGAACAAAGGCCCTACTGTGATGCGTGAAGAAGAACGGTAAGTGGTCCTATTGCATGGATGGATAGAGTGTGCGTGTATCTTACATGCATGTTTTTCTCTTTTTACAGCTATGCTGCCGTAGCAGCTTGCAAGTGGGTCGATGAAGTCGTGCCTGATGCACCTTATTTTACCACCGTCGACGTTCTCCGCAAGCACAACATTGACTTTTGTGTCCATGGTGACGATATCACTACGATGGCTGATGGTACCGATTGCTATCAAGCTGTCAAGGATGCTGGTCTTTATCGTGAATGCAAGCGTACCCAAGGTGTATCAACCACGGAATTGGTGGGCCGTATGTTGCTGATGACTCGTGATCATCACAAGCGTCGCATGTCAGCTGGTGCATCATCGCTTTCAAGCTTCAACTCGGAAGATTTGGGTTCCTTTAGTCGTGGTACTCGTCGCACTACCGTCTCGCACTTTTTGCCTACTTCCAAGCGCATTGTCCAATTCTCTGAAGGTCGTGAGCCTGCTGAGAATGATAAGGTCGTCTATGTCGATGGTGCATTTGATCTCTTCCATGTTGGTCATATCGAATTCTTAAAGCGTGCCAAAGCTTTGGGTGACTTTTTGGTTGTGGGTGTACACGATGATCAGGTAAGATTGTGTATGGATGAGGTCATGGAAAGCCAACTAATACAATGGATAATGCACGACGTAGACTGTCAATGCTATCAAGGGTGCCAACCATCCTTTGATGAACCTTCACGAACGTGCTCTTAGTGTGCTTGCTTGCAAGGTAATAATGGATCTGAGATGGGGGAGGAGGTATATGGAGCAAGAGGTATAATCTTGTATACTGATGTCGGTGATGTGTTACAGTATGTCGACGAAGTTATTATTGGTGCTCCTTACAGTGTGACCGAGGACGTGCTCAACAAGGAGTACAAGGTGCATGTCGTAGCTCACGGCAACACAGCTACGGAACCTGATTTGGATGGATCGGACGCTTATGAGGTATGGCAACACAAAGAAATTTACGCGAGGAGGTTGAGAATCTTCGGGAAAGAAGGTGGGCTTATACATCTTGTTACATTTACAGCTTCCCAAGCAACGTGGCATCTATGTTGAAATTGAAAACCCCAACTCGACCCTTACGACTCAGGGCATCATTGATCGTATCATTGAGAACCGCTTTGTGTAAGTGTACAGGATGGTTGATTGTAGCATGATCCATGGCTGACACTTTGATGATTAGCTTTGAAGAACGACAACGTAGAAAGGGCGCCAAAGCAGCTATCGAGGCTGAAAAGGAAGCCATTGAAAAGAATGCCAAGGCCACTGCCGCACAATAATCAAGAACCTATACGCACATACACGCCCTCCTCACATTGTATCCTCCCTCACCTTCCAATCCACCTTAATTTACCCGTCTTGCGTTGAATTCATCTTCAACGTTGTATAATCTTTCTCTTTTTTTTGAATTCCCCCTCTTTTCCTGTATCATATTGTTACTTCTCCCCTCTTTTTCCCCCCTCTCCTTTCTTCTTGTACCTTTGGAGAGAACAATGACAACAAAAAAAGTTTATTGTGTAGGCCGTAAAAGGCGATTATTAGATGATGATGTATAAAAGAAAATAAACGCTACACGTTCAACCGTTTTAAGGCAACCATACAACGAGTGCAAATGGCAAGACGCCAAGTAAGGATATAGATACACGAGCTTTCGTATGGCCATTGCTTTCGATTACATCCGATTCAATGCTGCTGCTGGCGTGAAGCATATCGGCTGATGGGCTAAAAATTTCGCTTGTGATGGTGGTGTAGGCTAAATGTATACTTGAGTATGCAAACACAAAAGTAATGGTAATACCATGATGTTGCTGTACCTGTTACTGTTGGACGTGCTCCATCTTCGCTGTCTGTGACAAATGGGGAGGTGGGTACTTGGGCTGCTGGTTTGGATGAAGCATTGGTAGCAGAAGGTGATGGTCTCTCATTTTCATTATCACAATCTTCATCATTTTTAGATGCATCGACAACGTATTCGGATGAAATGCCATCCTCATCCTCATCACAGTCTTCATCGTCGTCTCTTGAGGAATCATCATCATTATCATCATCGTCACAATCTTCTTCATCTTGCAGCAAGCGTGTCGAGGGATCGGATGCATCCTCCACTGACAGGCCATTCTCACCAGTTTGAGGCTGGTTGGCAATATCAATGACCATCGTCTTGTGTATAGTAAAGCCCTCACTATCAATACATGCATTCTCGCAGCTCATGTCAGCTGCCAAAACATGTCAACTAGGTGCAACACATCGCATGCTATCGTACTGCTTGTTTACATACCACAGTCTTGTGCACAGGAAATGCCACCTTTGGATGCTAGAGTAAAGTGCACTAAATGCACCATTGCTGCAATTGTCGTCAACGCTCCACTGGTATGAAAAAGACGCATCGTTAATGTTTCATGCAGCCTTGATCTCCCCTTCCTTTCCTTTTATATCTGGGATCGTTACGAAATTGTCCAAGCACTCATCCTCGGTACAACGGCATAGACGATGATCATTTGGTAATAAAAAAAAGTTTCATGTATTTTTGGAAGATCAAAGTTGAAGCAGAGAGTTTACACATATATGCAATAAAAAAGATGGTATATGCTTCGAGGGGAAGGTTGAGCGGGAAAGAGTGAGAAAAAAAGAATGGGAGATATGGGGAACAGCATTTTTACAATTCATCGTGACCAGTGGAAGCATCCTCAGTTTCCTCACCATCCACAGTGAGCTTGACACCGTTGGCACTGTGTTCATTCACAAACTTGACAAGATCCTCCAAAGTACGGCTACCTTCATAATCAACCATCTCATTGGTCTTGGCCTTGAAGAACTTTAAGGTAGGGAAACCTTGAACGCTGAAGCCACCTTCAGGTGGGATATCATTTTCAGTACCATCCAATTTGGCAACGACCAACTTGTCTTGAAGACCTTGATCCTTGACAGCAGTACCGAGCTCTTCCCAAATAGGGGCGAGACGCTTGCAGTGACCACACCAGGGAGCATAAACTTCAACGAAAGCATCCTTGGACTTGTCAAGAACAATGTCATTGAATTCGTTAGCAACGACCACCTTGACAGGACCGTTGTTGTCTTCAGGAGCATCAGCCGACTTTAAGGTGGGGGCGATCTTGCCAGCGTCATAGTCGGCAAGGAAAGCATCAATGTTGGAAGTGGTGATATCCTTGGTTTGATCAAAGGGATACTTTGCACCAGTGTCGAGATGTTGGATACCAAAGGCGGGCCATTGTTCCTTGAGACCCACGTTGCCAGCATGAGCACCATACTTGGAGGCATCAATATGAACAAAGTTGACTTTGCCCTTGTACTTTTGGGCCACAGGCTTAAGAGCGGTCACCAAAGGCTCTGCTTGTTCCTCAGACTCGGCAAAGATATAAGCAAGGGGCAAACCGGATTCAGCATAGGAACCAAAGTTGGACGCGTCGACTTGGCCCAAAAGAGGAACGGTGCTGGTCTTGATAAAGTCAGCAACAGCCTTCTTGTCCGACAAATCCTTGGTCCATTCGTTACGACCACCATCCACATCCTCATCAAATTGCTTGTAGACAACAAGAGCAGGCACCGAATCCACATTGTGCTTCTTGGCAAGGGCATCATCCGTCACAACACCGAAAAAGAAATCATCACGCATCTCCTCAGCCAATGCCTTGAGAGCTGCTTGGTTGGTCTCATCCGACGATGACACGTAACCCACAATAACGGCCTTGTCAGACTTTTTGAAATCATCAAAGTTATCAGCATTCAAATCGCTCACAGCAGGTGCAGCTTGCCTTTAAGTCATAATAGAGTTTTGTTAGAATGAATGACACTTTATCCCTCCCTCTTTTTGTTTCAAACTTACTTTTTCATATAGCTGACAATACCAGGTGCTTGACGTGGACCCTTATATTCAGAAGTGTTGCCCTTTCTAAAGACCTTGAGAGTGGGATAACCACGCACTTCATACGAGTTGCACAATTCAGTGTTGGCGGTACAATCCACCTTGCCGAGGTCGATAGAATCCTTAAGTTCAGTAGCTGCCTTCTCGTATTCAGGGGCTAAGAAACGCCAAAGTGATCATCAGTATACACATGCATGCATGCAGATACACCCTTGACGCGACAAACCACACGTCGCCACGTCCTCTCTCGTTTATACATACCAAGAGCCTTGCAATGGCCACACCATGGAGCATAAAACTCGACGAGCATCAGATCCTGATCCATAACCTTATCTTCAAAGTTGTCCTGATTGAGCTCAATGACATTGTCGGCGAGGACGCTTTGAGTAAGAGCGGCGAAGGTGGTAGCAAGTGCTGTCCAAAGCAAAGATCTCTTGACCATAGTGTAGTGTGTTGGGTAGTTTTGTAAAGAAAGAAGGATAAAAAAGAGTTGCAGGAAATTAGGAAGCCCTATTTATCATCCCATTATAAGCGTTTGTGCTGTCTTGCATTGATTGGCTCTGGATATCAAAAGCTAATGCGTAGTTTGAGCCAACTAACTGACACACACCTGTTGAATGATCAATGGTCGAATGTGACACACCGACGTTTTCAGGCAAGCTTGGTCTATCAAATGTGGCTCTGCTTCTGCTTTCGTATTAGTCAGCGATGCCTTCTTTTACGTTGAAAATAGGGGGGAGTTGCCATGGATACGTGATGTTTATTAGTGGTGATGGGTTGTCTTCTACGTAATGACCTACATACTTCTATTGCCTTGTGGCTAATATGCATGTAATACCTCGGCTGTAGGTTGCCGATAATGCCACACGCTGTTTGATGATTAGTCTTTCATCAGGCTTAGCTCTTTCTTATATCCAAGTTTACTTGTTCAAGATGTGTGCCTTCCCAAATGGGTGCATGAAATATCTTCTCTTGTACCAACCAGCACTATGGATACCATGTATCAATTGGGACCATGCACGCATTACTGCATGATAACAAAATGCAATTCTTCATATGGCTGGGTAAACGTTTTATGACCATCATCATCGAGCATCAGCAGTGTTAGACAACAACAAAAGCAAGCGTGATTTTATTTAATAAGTGAGGTACTCAACAATGCATTCAGGTGGTGCTCTTTCATAAATAACGCGATAAACCGCTGTCATCAATGGAAATCTATGCATGTACATTGAGCAATCCAAAGTCCAGTGATTGTTGTCAGCTATGTACTTACTCTTCTGTCATGTTACGTGTGACCAAGAATCGATGTACTTCAAGTGCCGTGGTAGTACCTTGTAGCTTTTGACCATTAAGAAGCTCTTTTTCTATTTCTTCAATGGACTATAGTTGACAAGGTGTCAGCGGATGCATGCTATTATCTTGATTATGTAGGATTATACCTTATCCGAGTGAATGAAGGCTTCAGCAACGCGACGATTACGACCTCCAGAACACGTAGTGATCAAATCAGCCACGCCACAAGATTGAAAGAAAGTCTCTGTACGCACACCACCAAAGAAGGTCTTGCCAAACTTTCGCATTTCCAAAAGGCCACGTCGAATCACAGCTGCTCTTGTATTGTTGCCATACTTTAAGCCATCGCATACACCTGCAGCAATGGCCACCACGTTCTTGAGCGCACCACAGATTTGCAAACCTGTGTAATCCTCGATGACTGATATGTTAAAGTAAGGGGTATGGAAGAGTTTCTTGAACACGGCACCATCTGTGTCTGGGTACTTTGTTCCAATGGTTGCTTCTCCATACTTTTCTTCAGCCACCTCGGTTGCAATATTGGCACCACTCAATGCAGCGCATTCGATACCAAGCAACTTGCTAATCTCATCAGAAAAGAGCATAATGTTCTCATCTCGAAAATCAAGACCCTTGATCAATGTAATGCCCCGACAGTCTGCATCAATCACCTCCTTCAGTGATCCACATGTTTGGTACACAAACTATAAATATAGATGCATGAGTTGTGATCCCTACTACTACTACGTGTGTATGCATAGGATGTACCTGGTGGGGTAAGACAAAGACAAGGATGTTGGCTCCTTCAGCTGCCTTTTTGACATCAGGTTCGGCCACGATATTGGATGAGAGCTTGATCCCTGGTAAATACCTGTTTCATCGTCAACACCAAGCTTATTGTAAATCGAGGTCTTTTACTTACTTTACGTTCTCATGTTGCTCATTGATGATATCCGTCAAATTACGGCCTTCAATTTGCTCTTGAAAGACCCACATACGCACAGTGGGATCAAATAAATCCGAATGTTGTTGTACATTTTGCCCTATGACACGTGCAATGGCGGATCCCCTATGTACGTATCTCTAGATCAGATGTCTGATATCGAGATTGTAATGTGGCGTTATCGTATTACCAATTGCCCGAGCCGATTATTGATACCTTGAGTTGTTTGCCCATGCTCTTTTGAAAAGAAAGGGAGAAAGAGTCGAATGATACGATTTCTTTCGTTTCGGTGAATTTTCCTTCTTTCGCCCTCCCCCCTTGTTGTCTCACTTACAATGACAGAAAACCCTTACATAGTTATGACGATCATGGAAATTGTATAATTTTGTACAAAAAGAAAACAAAAGGATAAAATGTACAGATGTTGTAGATATTAACAAGAATGATAGGTAGTGGTATAGATATGTACGGATCGAAGAGTTGCGTTTAGGCGGGTTCATTGTTGGTAGTGGTGGTGGTCGTAATAGTCGGATTTGGCTGATCGGTGTTGGTTGTTGATGAAGGAGGAGGAGGAGTGGATGATGATGTTTCTTTTTTCATAATGGAAGGTCGTGGTAGCCATCGTGGATTGGGGGTACGAGCATTCTTTCGATAGCGTAAAAACAAAAACACTGCAGCACCAGCACATGCAAGGAACCCAACGATACCCAATGAAATGCCGACTGCTTTGGCTGTGGTATGATTCGATTGATTTGGATTCGAAATAACCTTGGGTTCATCTCCACCATCGCCGCCATTATCACCTCCATTGTCAGGCATATGAGGAAATGTGAATCGGCAATCGGGTTGCACTGGTTGTGGTTCGTCTTCGTCTCCTGGTATACTATCAACCCATTCCCATGTAGCCAAATTCAAGATCCCAATATCATTCACAAAGTTGCCATCAGAGTCATATCCTACAAACACACAAGATCATGTCAATATCCATATCGCATTACACGAGCTTTCCTTTTTACCCATCATGACCAGCATGTAATTCCCATAGGTCACTGCTTCATGGCCTGCGCGTGCTGATGGTGCTGTTCCTGTCACCATAGGTGTTGACCAACTCAATGTGCATACATCGAGTACAAAGAGATCCTGGGAAACAGTATGGCTCGATTGATCCTCTTCGTTTTGATCGGTTGGTTGCTCAACATTGATGCCTCCGAAAACAACGATTGATTTGCCATCCGGTGCTACGCAAATTATCCTTATCAATATTTCATTGATCCCCTCTCACTGTACAATGAATGATCTCTTACCTAATGTAGCCGAGAAGCTGCCAATAAAAGAAATCCATCAACATCAAGATACATTTTGTTGTGTCACCCATTACTTACTCCAATTTGCCATCTGGGGTGTCACCAATGGTCGCCATTGTTACAGCCTTGTTTTTGATGGTGTCAAACACTATCCGATCACGTGAGTGGGTATAAAGATCCTATGGATCATCATCCCCCCCTTCCAACTTACCAAGCACACTTTGGAAATCAGCTTCACCAAAGATCCATGAATCATCTGAGACGTTTCTGATAGCTGTTTTGCCACCCAATATAAATAATTGTCCTGATCTGCAATATGTCAGTGCTCTTCATTCATATGCAACTAGTGGTCCTTGTACCACAATGCCAAGATCATACTTACACCAAGACCGCCTTATGTCCGTATCGTGCAGGTCGTTGTCCCCAAGCGTATCGAATCGTTGGCCAACTCCATACACCTGTTTGCATATCGAAGTTGTAGAAGTCATTATACTAAATGTAGGGTTCATTGTATTAGCAAAATGCGACCATTGTTATACGTCGTCGTGCTACTTGCATAAAGTTGTTCACCCGCTTGTTGCCTTTCTTCGGTGGATCGGCCTCCATAAAACCAAGCGACTTGAGTTGTGCTATTTGCAGTAGCTGACATTTCTGCACGTGATTGTGGCAATTGGCTGGTGGCGTCCACGGCTGTTGTTGATACCATCGTTCCCTTTTAGCCGCCCATCATCCATAAACTCACAAGGATTCACACACACACATACCAGCTTGATGCCAAGAAGCAGAAGACATGTTGTAAACGACCATGTTGTCCATTTCAGTCGTACCACGATCCCCAGATTGAACATAGATAGATTCGTTTGGGCCTGCGAAGGCAACACCATATAAATAAGGAGCCACTGTGATGGATGATGATGATGAAGATGATGTATCGGATGGTGGTGGTTCCCAATGAGGACATGATTGATCAACGCCTGTGGAAAGATCCAGTGACCATACGTCAATTGTATCCTGTAATATGATGATGGTGATGAGGTATGTATGGATAAGCATATGCATGTACAAGTGGTAGTGGTAGTAGTAGTGGTACACATACAGAATTGCCACCCGTCAAGTAAACTCGTTGGTCCATGAGAATGGCTGAAAAGTCTGAAAAGTTGCCGGGGAATGTGTTGTCGCATTGTTGTGCTTGGACATTGCTGATGAGAAGGACAAGAATGAGACATGGCCACCAAAGAGGTAACATGGTGGTGGTTCAATAGGAGAAACAAAGGGAGGTAAATGAAAAGGTACGAAATGCTTTAAAGGAGCGGCTGTCTGTGTTTCAAAGTCGTATTATCACTTGAATGTTTGAAGGCTGACAAAGATAACTCTAGTTGCAGAGAATAGTGGAGTGATATGAATGGATCCTATTGAATGCGGGAGGATCATGGATGATGATGATGCTCTAAAGCACTGTCACCCTTGCCGTAAGAGGATTAGCTTATAAGTAAATGCTAGGCTGGTCCAGACGATCCGAAGGTGGAGACCACGTTGCACAACGCTGATGATGAACGAAAAGAAATTGCAATTGTAGATCGTCCGCAATTACATTTTGAGCTTAGACTCTCTTTGCTCAATGTAATCCAACATATTTCTCTTTTTCTCTCTTCTTACTTTTTTCTTTCTCCCACCCCTTAATCAAGTTGTCAAAACAATGAAGGCTCATTCTATAACATGCTCCTTGATCCTATTACTGTTTCTGGTCAATACGATCGACGCACAGTCATCCGACGCTGCACAGCAACAGCCAGGTGGTTCATCTGATGCTGCCAACGTACCTGCACCCACAGCCTCAGCTGAACCATCACAAGGCAATTCACCTACGCCTGCACCTACCACTACAGACCAACAACAGCAACAGCCTACCAATACACAAGACCAAAACCAAAATCAAAACCAAAATCAAGACCAACAGCAGAATCAACAAAGCCAAGACCAAAATCAAAACCAGCAACACACTACTCAAGGGTCTAATAACACGGGAGCAGGTGATTCAGCAGTAGCAACACCCACTCCAGGAGACAATAATCATTCGAGCGGGGATGGTGCTACAACTCCCGAATCATCGTCGGACTCATCCCAAGAGGATAACAATAACAACAACAACAACCAGCAACAACAAGATCAAAATCAAGATGGGCAGCAGGATCGAAACCAAAACCAACAACAACAACAACATCAACAAGGTGATAACAATCAGTTATCGACGGCCACGATTGCCGGTGCTGCAGTGGGAGGCATAGGTAAGAGAGATGATGTCTATAATTGTATGCGTTTTCTTGTTGCTAAAAATAATATCTATTGTAGCGGGTGTGGCGTGTATTATTGGTCTCTTAGTATGGTGGTTGTGCTGTTGCCGAAGACGTCGTCAAGATGACAAGCGAAGACGTTTGACAAGAGAATTTGCAGCTACCGAAGAAGATTTTGCCATCCATGATAATAGCGCTGCTGGTATGCGACAGCCCATGTTGCCTTCTTTCCAACAACAAGCACGGCGGTTTGTGTCACCACCACCTACGGGGTATATGACCTTGCACGACCAATCCGTCAATGATTATCCTGTTAATGATTACCCGTACGACAACACCAGCAAACAATTACCACCCGCTCCTCTTGTCACCACCACTCATAAGCCTGATATCCCAACCTATGCATCCAAACCCGATACCATTGATCATCAACCCCATAAACCAGATGAAGCATAGAACTCATAATAAAGATTGCAGTAGTAGTAGCATGATGATGTTTATAATCCATACAAGTAGGTTGCATAAATCACAAATCCAGTGCCAATGATAAACGTGCCAGTGATGGTAAATCCAAAGAGCCATACGCTCACCAAACTTGAGAGGATGATACTGAAGCTGGTAGCAAATCCCTTGAGAATCGAATCTATCGTAATACCATTTCTTAGATTGATCACTCGAATTGCACGTATACTCACATACCAGCAAATTTGACTACGAGACCCACAATAAGACCACCAATCGCTTGGATCAAAATGACACACCATGTCATTGGCGTATAATGTACAAAGAACCCTTTTTCCATGATGGTGGGAACATCTTGAATCAAGGTAGCAACGCCCAACACCACCGAAAAAGCCGCGAGACGTGTGCTATTGATCCACCATACGCTCATATCATTACCATCCTTTTTGTCACCTCCCACATCCAAAGGTAATCGTTGTGCTGCTGCTGGTGTGGGTGAACCTCCTTTGAGGATCTTTTCGGTATAGACGGCTGCTAAACCTGAAAGGACACATGCCACTAGGACGGCCACATAGCCTTGTACACTGGATTGATTGCCGATCGATTCAGTGGCAGATGATGATGATGCTTCTTCAACGACTTCTTCTTTTGGCAAAACGACCAGCGCGATGCCAATAGTCAGCAAACCCAGGGCCGCCCATTTGATTTGTGATAAAGTCTTGTTGAGTACGATACGGCTGAAGAATGCAGTGGTAAGTAGTTTGAGTTGATACAAGACGGCAAACGTAGCAACATCCAAGTGCGTAGCAGCCACATATTGAAGATTGTTCTACAATAGTATCTCGGGCAATGAGATAAAGCGTATACATAGGGGGGTTGTATAGGTAGCTTTTACCTGTATCAGGTAGATGATGGCAGGGACGGCCGTCTTTACGGCAAAAGGCCACTGTGTAATAAATTCATGGTGCAGGAGCTTCACCAGCCGAGAAAAGGACCGCCGACATGTCATTGTATACAATGCACCGAAACACACGACCAGCTTGACACATTCATTCATAAAGACGGCAGTGGATGCGAGGTATTGCTGATCGCTGGGGACACTTGCTCGAGTGTAGCGCATGACGAGATTCAAAGCACTGTTCTGTACAATGAGCAATAGCAAGACCAGGTATTTGACGTCGTTGGTTGAAGCGGCTGCTGCTGTTGCTGTTGCTGCATAAGTAGCATAAGGATCAATAGTTGTATCATTGAAGGGGAGGATACTAGCTAGTTTGAATAAATGACGTACCCATGTTGAATCAATCAGATAAAAGAAACAAATAGTCTTGTGAGATGCATAAGGTGTGTGAAAGAAAAAGTGGCACTTGCGTACCTGAGGACGAGCATTGGGGAGATCAATGTCTCATATATCGGAGTGCCATCCAAAGGGTGATAGCGTGTTTTGCTCAAAGGGCTAGACACTGATACTACTACTACGCAACATACCCAGGCCTAGCCCTCCCTCAGCCCAATATCCACTCGTTTTATCATGCATGGCTAAGCCAAAATATCTCTTCGGTCTATTGGATCTAATGCTTATCATGCATGTTGGAGAATTTGTATTGATAACATGTCCCATCCACAACCTCACTTTGTTGATCCAAGCCATCGCCATTAGAACGTTTATTAAGAGGATCTTATATAAAGGTTGTATTCTGAAGAAGAACAAAGGCCGATTCCTCCTTGCTTGTGAATAGATATCACATGGCTTTGATCCATACTGTAGTAGCACACTCTTGTTGAAATAACGTGGCATACTTCATGTATGACATATCCCATATGTAGCGAGTATAGTAATATAGTAATAACGTTGCGAAAAGCATCTCGATACGATGATTTATGTAAATGATCCAATCTTGCTTCTTGACCTTCAAACTTCTATTCCCCCTTCGATCCACCAACCAACCAAGTAATCCACATCTTGCACATACAAGCTGATAGCACGATACCCTTCTAAACCTTGAATCCAAACTTCATTCAATGAAACATTCGAAGAATAGTAGTACATGGTAGTGTGGACGTTTATCAAGCAAATACAAATTGAATAAGATATGGGAGGTGATCACAAAGAGCCAACAAGGATAATTGTGTCATTGTATGCTTGGTTGTCGCCGTCGTAATCATCCTTACATCCATGGTTGCAAAATAACTGCTGCATGCATCGAGTCGAGTACTCCAATATCATCCATGGCTGTACAACACCTTTTGTCAATTCCACCCCATCCATCATCATCCTCAGCCATATCCACATGGTGACATAATCCATCGTTCCTGCTGACAACGAGCCAAGTAACCAAAGCAACATTCCAGGATTATCCATCCACCCATCATCACCATTCCAAGTCCACCATGTTGGTTGAAAGAGCCAAGGGATCGCTGCTGGTGTGCTTCCTTCTCCATCCGGCTGTTGTTCAATCACATGCATGGCCATCTCAACGAGGTGAAGATTGCTTGTATTGCGGTGTAGTACTTGATAGCTGACATGGCGCCATGGAAACTGGACATCACGTCGCACACTTCATTAAATGATAATCATCCTTAATCACCATCTCTCAATCAATATCCCCATCCATCCTCTTTCATACCTTAATAATGGGTGAATCACAATACAAAGTATCTTGTAGTAACGTGCTGCTGGATAACGACGCGTGTAATGATGCATGAAAAGATGGTGAACGACCATCGCTGTATTCCTTGTACTGTCAGAGGCACCAGCATCCAAGATATTCAATCTACCATAAAAGCAATGTAAGATAGCAAGCACAGCATTTGCATTCCTTGTCAACATACCCAGAGCAAAGGTGTAAAGACCTGTTGGGACCTCTCGTTGTGTGACAACCATGGAACGAGTACACACCACGCCCCCTTTTGGATTATAAAGGAGAGAGCAGCAAACTACACGTAGACTTTAGTATCTCGACGTCCAACTTGAATAATAAAGTAATGCAGATTGAACATACGATGTTGTATTGCAATGGAAGTTTAAGTCAAAGGTAGATCGCACGCGTATACTTGTTGTCATGGAGAAGTGTTGCCATTGACCACCAGTTCACGCATTGACGCTGTACATTGGAAGGGACGCTAGCTATTAATGCGTTGTAGTTTGCAATGGAGACAAGCTTACCTTGCTTTCTGAAACGGGAGAGGAGAAGAAGGGGCTCTTTGTCTTCCTTTTCCACGCCACCCCGCTTGCTGTTGTTAATATGGCAGCCTATACACTTGGGTCAATACCAACGACCATTATGCGAGATTTCAATTAAACACATTCCTTGTAATTAAGCTATACCATCATTTTACTATGGCGGGATTGGCGTCAATTTGCTCCGTGCACATCAATGCAACCGTTATAGGACTCCTCTTACCAAACATAGAAGAACTATATGGATTCATTGTTATTTAATGGATAGCTTTTTCATGATAGGATGCTGTTTACGCGTTTTCCCGAAGCCAATAATCATAGCGAAGTGTGTATGTAACCACCAAGTACAATAAACTCAGCTCATCCTCTTGCCTATAATGCTGTCGACACCATTTGCTAGAAGAAAGTAGCTTCATCACGCTTACAGGATGGGTGGGTGCGGTTGTGTGGAGATTGAAAAAGAGGTGGAGGTGGAAGAAAAAAAGGCCGCACTCCGAAGCCTTTGGGCGAATGAAATCATCGAATTCCACGTGATGAAAGCAGTGGTTTGCCCTAAATCTGAAGAGAATGACACCCATTCACTTTTTTTCTCGAAAAAACCTACATTTATATGATTGTAGTAAAATTTACGATCAAAATGATATAAAAAACGTTGGAATCGGGCGTAGCTTCATGTACAACGGTGGGGAAAAGTGTGAAAATGAAGAGACCCACAAGTTGACAATGGGGGTCCCTAAAACCATTATATAAGTAGATCGATTCCTAGGGTAAATGGACCTCGGATCTCTCGCCCTGCAGTGTTGGGGGCACGCAGGGGGAGAGAACCATTAAAAATCAAGCACCTGCTCGGGCCCCCAATCCGACCAGGTCCCTTGACGATGCGGAGATTGGTCCGCCCGCTAGAGGTGGGGATGGTGAGACAAACCTTCGCGCGGTCATCCCTGTGAGTACATGACGGAAGTCATCGAAACCAATTGTCTCTTCCTTTTTTGGCTTTTTTTCTTGGATCGGTTACACATAATCGCGGGTTCGATTCCCACTCCCTGCACATATTCCACACACTTTTTCTTTACTTTTGCATCACTTTCGTTACTTTTTGATTCCCACACCCCATTTCCTTTTCTTTTCTTAGCATTTACAACCTTTACAACGCTTACTTCATTTCTATTATCTATAAACAACAACTATCGTCGTATTATAACTAGAAAAGTAATTGCAAAGAATAAAAGACAACCAGCAACAGAGTTTATTTGAAGCATTTTATGCTATTCTTTACTTCCAGCTTATCATCTGGGTTATTTCATTGTATCGGGAGTGCCTTTAATTTCATGCACCTCGTCAAGAGCAACCTCGTCTGTACACACCCAAGTATACGCACGTTACCTTTTATCTTTTCCACTCACCCTGATCCCAACCATGTTCTCATTGGCGGAAACGATCTTGCTAATGAGTGAGTTACCTTCAACAAAAGCATCAGCAACACACGAGGTTCATGATGTAAAAGCTGCTTGACCCATACAAAAGTTCAATTGTGAGATAGTAAGAGGAAAGGCTCGAGCATGATGTGGACGACAATAACGGATGCTGGTGGTGATGGTTACGTTGTTTTCTTGTGATAGTGTCGATGATGAAGAGAATGGGGCGGGAAGTGATTAATGAATTACAACGCGACGTCCATTGTAGAGTCTTGTTGGGTTGAAACAGTGCCATGGTGGTTCATCGCATATGGTTATCCATTCCAACAGCCAGCTCCGTACGCTCCTTGCATTCCAAACGACTTTTAAAATGGGCTTCAACTGATCAATGCATCTCTCGGGACAAGTTGGTTATTCCAGCCTCAGGCCTATTCGTGGAAGCCGCTGTATATCATCACCACCATGTGGGCTGTAGTGTACTATGCCACCTACTCCAACTTTGCATATGCATTTACGGAGATAGTTAAATCAAAATGAATGAGTATATGATTCATTTAGCATAGAATGAGGTTTTACCTTAATAACAACTCAAATTACAATGACAATGAAAGGAGGGTAACAATGAAAAGCTAAAGATCATCACGGATATCAGTATATGGATCGTTCATCGAATAAGCCCATCCATTTACATGATACTCACATCAATTTGGCCTTTGAAGGTGCAAGGAAATAAAGGTGGATGTATTGCGAGTAATAGCAAGGGCGACAATGTCTTTCATCTGATGGTAGGCGTGGGTGTTTCTGTGATCACAAAGAGCATTGGTGCCATGCATAATACAAATCCGAGTGCATATGAGATGAACAAGGCGTTCATCACCAAACAATGACAACCATCCACTTTTCCACAACTCACTATCTTCGTAAATACAAGCGTTGAATCAACCGCTGAAAATCGCTGCTACCTATCGTTTATATAGAATATGAACGAGATGAAGTTAAACCAATGCAATGCGACGAAAGGGACAAAAGCCTCTTGATACGGTAATGTAAATGATCCAATCTCGCTTCCCGACCTTCCAATTTCTATTTCCCCTTTCAATCCAGAAAGCAACCAAGTGATCCACATCTTGCACATATGAGCTGGTAGCACGATACCCTTCTAAATATGATGTTGAATCCAATTTTCATTCAATGAGACATTCGAAGAATAGTAGCACATGGTAGTGTGGGTGTTTATCAAGCAAATATGATAAGGGAACAGCATTGCAAATTGAATGGGATACGGGTGAATCACATAGAAGCAACAGGGATAATTGTGTCATTGTATTCTTTGTTGCTGCCGTCATCATCATCCTTCATCCATGATTGTAAAATAGCTGCTGCATGCATCGAATCGAGCACTCCAAAACCTATCCATGGCTGTAAACACCTTCCGCCAAAGATACAAGCCCTCTTAATCCATCATCATCCTCAGCGATATCCACGCGCCACGTGCATCGTTCCTGCTGACAACGCGACAAAAACCAAAAGAGAAATTCCATCTTTCCCAATCACTGCACTTGGTTGCATCCATCCATCCATATCCATTGCAAGTCCAATAATGCTGCTGATACGCTTCCTTTTCCATCAGGGTGTTGGTCCATCTCTTTCTTGATCGTCTCCTATCGCAGCTCAACTAAGGTGATGATGCTTTGCATTGTGGCGTACTTGATAGCTGATATGGCATCATCCATAGGAATTCGTATGTATTGAAAGCAAGTTGATGACACGTAAACAAAGCTGCTCCCATGCAATGGCTATCTGTTGTCCAGGTAACAAAGGATGCAAGGCAGGATGCTGCAAGTGAATAGCACTGCTTGAGACAATAGAGTAAGCTGTTACGTTTGGTAGTGGCCGAGGAGCGTGCAAGAGCGTGTGTCGTAGTAGAGTGACAAGGTTGTGAACGCTGTATGAGACAATGGTGTAAAGACATCGCCAATAGCAACTGCTGGAATGAATGCTGTTACGTTTGATTGTCGTCGACGATTGTACAAGAGAAGGTGAAGTGTCAAGATTCGCGGCTGTTGTAGTGGGCTGCATACGCCATGGACTTGCCATTCAGTCAAAGACATTCGGACCAAGAGCGTTGTAGGATTGACATGATGGGTAGCAGCAGGACAATCGTTCGCAGGTGGTAGTTGTATACATGAATGGGGCAACAGTTGGGAATGGGAGGAAGAGAGAAGAGCTGAGGGTGGAAGAAGTGGAAAGTAAATCGGTCGGACACCTCTTGTATAAATGCATGAACACCGTACATCAAACCTTGATATTGAGATTACCCCTCCTCGAACCTGAAACTTTCACACAATGTACTCTGGGATATGCTGATTGATATTGTTTTAAAAAAGACCTCATGTTCATTTGAAAATATTGAATGGGAGGGTACAATGTGGGATTTACTATGGAGATCGGAAAGCATGGCAGCGCCGGGTTCATGACCTATGGAAATAGTATGTATTACCTTGGGATTCCCCATCTCGAACATGAAACTTTGTCAGAAGGTTCGCTGGAACATGCTGATCAACTTCATTCAATTAAAAACAGCAGGGTTCACTGTGAAGATTTAAAATGCGGGGTGGTCCAAATGGTGAATGATGGGATCAAAAGAGCGGACGGCCCACCGCCCCGAAGTTGCCCACTTCCCCACTTGAAAATGGGTCAGAAGGGTGCTCTCGCATGCTGATCCACTTTTATCTAATAAAGACCTCACGTTTCATTTGAAAATTTGGAATGGGAGCTTCCCAAAGTTTGAAAGACGGAGACATTCGCAGGGTCTGCGATTCATTAATTTTCATGTTTGCTGTTCCAGCGTAGCTCAGTCAAATCAGCTCGGATCAAGAAACTTGAATGATGGAAATGCTCGGCTGGAGCAGGAGAATCGTTTTCATGCAGTGGATTTTGCAACAATGTTGATTGTGAGGAATTGGCTGATAGCGTGCACCATATGGATTATTATGGATAGACCATAAAGTAAAATCCATCAATCCTTCCAGTCAT